ACAAGCTCACATCACATTCCCAAAGATAAAAAACATCTCAGGCAAAAATTAATTAATTAAAAATCTTAAATTTAGGAAAATCAAAATGATTCCTTGATTCCTTTTTGGATTATAATGGAATGAAACTTGAAATCAATATGAAGAAAAATTACAAATCCTTGCTAAACCATGGTACTGAGCAGAACAGTACTAAATGGGCCCAGTTAGGGGTCAGCGTTTGCTCTAGCATCATGCTAAGCTCCTGTCCCCTCTGAGGGTTTTTCCACTCAGTTCCCCTTCTTCTTGTGCACCAGAGTAAACAGGAACTGAAGTATATATTTGGATCTTTCAGTGACATTCATATAGAAGTATGTTTTTCTGCTTCACCCTGGTAAACTCATCTCTGAGTTACAGCTAATCTTTAATAATTCACTCCAAAGTGGATAATAATTATTATAAAACATCTGAATGTGGTTCTCACACGTGTTCCTTATGTGATATAAATGTCACATAATTTTTCTTTATATTATTTATTTAATATTATAATTTGTTCCAAGAGCCATAGTCTATTTAACAAAAACCCCAACATGAGTCATGGGAAGGCCCTTTCTGAGTTGTTGCTCAGAGTTATCCTAGAGACTCTCAAAACATTATTAGCCATCAATATAGCCCTTGATTGTTTCCCAGAGACTAAACGGACGTTTCTGTTGTTGAAAAGACCAAACACTTCAGACACAGGGTCCAGAGTCCCCTGAGTTGGAACTAACCTGAATGCCTCCCTGCTAGCTTTTATGGTACAAGAAGGTGCTATTGCAAGATTTCAAAACAGGAAAACGATAGTCCTACCCAGCTGTCGTGATGCCTATGGACCACAACAACAAACCAGCATGACACAATGTCCATAAGGGTGCCATATGGCTGGGAGTACTTTGGAGATAACCAACAGTTGTTGTAAAGCCCATTCAACAAAAGAGAAATCATGCCCGGTAGGGAAACCTGGGCAATCACACAGGACTGGTGAAGTCACAGGTCTTGGAGGAACACCACCATCCTCCACTTCACTAAACCAGTTTAATGTCTAACTACATTCTAAATATTTCTCCTTATACCTGAAAATAAGTGTAGCTCTCACACCTCTTCAGAGACAATTACAGAAAAAGCACAAGTGATCAAAATGCAAAAACCATTGATCATGTGGTTCCAGCCCCAACTGACCCAGCTTATTAACACAGTTCCTGTCCCTGAGGTTCAGGGATCAGGGTAGAAGACTGTAAAAGACAGCTGAGCATAAAAGATTGTGTCTACTAGAAATAAAGTCTTGCCAGGCAGTGATGGCTCACGCCTTTAATCCCAGCACTTGGGAGGCAAAGGCAGGTGGATTTCTGAGTTCGAGGCCAGCCTGGTCTACAGAGTGAGTTCCAGGACAGCCAGGGCTACACAGAGAAACCCTGTCTCGAAAAACAAAAAACAAACAAACAAAAAGCAAAACAAACAAAAAAAAAGAAATGAAGTCTTATCAACATGGCTGCCTACACAAGGAAAACACCAATAGACACGCTGATAGGAAAGGAGGGAGTCTCATAGGGCACTTCACTCCAGACAAAGACGCGCGGGCAACAGAGACATTCTGAGAATGGAATAGTCTTCCCAAGGGAAGAGCCCTTTGATTGGGTATTCAATACCAAGTGGTTAGCCTTGAAATCATATACATAAAAGTACCATGATATGGACTGAGCAGGTTGTATTTATGAATTTAGAAATACATATCTATGGTGATGGTAGTGTTTACATTTAGTCTCAGCACTTTGGAGACAGAGGCAGGTGGATTCCTGCAAGTTTGAGGCCGGCTTGGTCTACAGAGCTAGTTCTAGGACAGCTACACAAGAAACCCTGTCTCAAAACAACAACAACAAAACTATGTATTTGTAGCAACAATTTAAACAATAGAGGCCATAATTTTAGAAAGAGGAGTTCATAGGAAGGATTGAAGTGAAGAAAGGAAAGGAGGAAAATTGTGTATTTTAATTTCAAAAAATATAAAAATTAAGATTATAATTTCAGGCTGGAGAGATGGCTCAGCAGTTAAGAATAGTAGCTGTTCTTCCAGAAGACCCAGGTTCAATTCCCAGCACCTACATGGCAGCTCACAGCATGTGTAACTCCAGTCCTGGAGATATGACACCTTCCTTTGGCCTATGTAGACGTGAGCATGCATGCAGTGCACATACATACATGTAGACAAGATTCACATACACAATTTTATGTAAAGATTATAATTTCAGTAGAATACTTTTAATTCATTTTAGGTTGAGACAAATGAGATGCTCACAGCTTACAATTTTGTTCCTTTTGTATGATATTGCATATTATCTACTTAAATTATTAAATACTGACTCTGAAAACATTCATTGGCCAATTCTATACATTTTTACAGATTTAAGAAACTCTTTGAAGAGACAAAAAAGAAGTTAAATAAACATGAAGGCGGAGAGCTTGGTGGTCCTGGAGATTTACAAACCAGCCAATTTGATATGCATATTCCAATTAATATGCTAAGCCATGAGGTAATTTCAGTAATCTATAGGTTCAATATTTCTTGCTTTGGGGAAATATAGCTATATATTCATTGGCCAGCAAAGCAAGGATTTAAGAAAGCAACTTCACTGACTTGATATCAATGAAAATGTGTATTTTTTTTCTATTAAAGATGCATTACACTGATTCTCTTACTTTTTAGATTGATTTTTTTTAAGTGTGTGGGTGTTTTGCCTGTATGTGTGTCTGCATCATCTACATGCCTAGTGTCCTTAGAGGCCAGAAAAAGGCATGGGATCCCTTGGACCTGGAGTTACAGATGGTTGTGATCCACCCCGTGGGTGCCTGGTACCAAACTCGAGTCCTCTGGAAGAGCAACCAGGGCTTTTAGCCATTGAGCCATCGCTTCAGCTCCTCTTAATGCTGGCAGATGACTTAACAGCAAACACTGTACCTTACCGTTACAATTTCAAAATCACACCCACCATGTCAGTTCTATTTGCTGCCAGCACCATCAAGACGTAGGCGACAGTCCATGAAAGCCAGTCAGTTGAAGTATACGGTAAAATTTGGCAAATATTCACAAATATTCAAATATCATCTCAATTTATTTTAGTATTTTTACATTCCAAACATGTCCTAAATGACTTAGTGATCGCTCTTTCATGCTGAGACTTAAGGAACCAAGTACACTTAACAGCTGTCCAGATGTTTGTCTGAACAGCTTGTATGAGAGACAGAGTCTGCACTCTAGCTGCCTTTATGTCTGGCTCCTGGTCCCGGACACAATCTTTTCCTTGTTCAGCCTAAGTTCTAACACCTGTAAGTACTTCCTCTCTTCCCATTGCTGACTAGTGTCCTGGTATACGGATATTATGCATTCACCAATTGACAGACCTCTGGCTTGTCCCCACTTTGAACTTTGATTAACAGATGCTGCTCTGACAGTGCAAGCCAGAGCTCTGCACAGAATGGCTTCATTTCCCCCTGCCTGGCTTCTGGTCAGTGGCACTGCTGAGTCATGTGATAGTCACGTACTTGGTTGCTCTCTGAGGACCCCCAGCACCAGCGTGTCTTCTCCAGTGGCTGAAGTCTCCTGTCCTCCAGTCCTGAAGGAGCACTTAACTTCTCTGCTTCCCTTGCCAACACCTGCTCCATCTTTTTATATTGTGTCTGTTTTGAGACAGGGACTCCCTATGTAGCCCTGGCTGTCCTTGGAGTTGCAGAAATCCACCTGCCTCTGCCTCTGGAAGGCTGGGGTTAAAGGTGTGAGACCCCACATCTGGCTTTTTCTTCCAAATTCTAACTAAACCAAGTTCCCATGCAGCAATGGGTAGGTACGGGAGTTTCCATTTGTGTTGTCCTAACGGAGCACATGAATCTTCTCAGCCTATTGGCCGTTAGTGTACCTCCTTCAGAGAAAGGTCTATCTAGATTGTTTCTACAGTTTTAAATTGGATTAGCTTTTCACTGGCATTTGTAGAGGCCCTCTTTATATCTTGGATATGAATTCTTTATCAGATACACAGACGTTGTGGTAATTTCTTCTTCTAACCAGCTTACCCTTGCACTCCATAACAGTGGCTCTGAAGTGCGTTAGCACTTTATGTTCATGGAGTCAACTCAACTATCTGTGCTTTAATGTCCTAACACGAAGTTTTGCCCGATCCAGTCCTGTTTCTCAGGATCTGCACGTCTCATTTCCTCCCTTAATACTGCATTTTGAGTGAATTTTATTTGTGGTGTTTGTTGGTCACTCACACTCAGTTTTTTCACATGTGAATAACTCATTGCCCCAGAATTATTTCTTGTTGAAAAAAAAATTAGTCTTAAGGATGATTTTTGCAGAATTTGTCGAGAGTCAGCTGATCATAAACACAGAGTTTGCTTTGGGAGATTCTATAAGCCGGGACCAATTAAATCCATTTCTTAAGTGAGAAGTCTTTCCCAGTAGTATGTGGCTTATTTCCAGTTGTTTTCTGTGACAAGCTTTTAGAATACAATTCAAATTAAAATAAAATATTTGTAATTCAGAGAAAAACACGACTTCAGAGCCCATGCTTCTAACACCTGTTCATTTGAGTCTCATTTTTGAGCTCTTTTGTGGAGACACACTCATCCGTCCAGATCCAAGCAACTGAAATCCTTGCCTTAAAGCTTGCTTACAAATTACAGGCACTGAGTGTGGGAAGGACACACTAGATTTGGCGTATGGTTGTGTTAAGGAAAGAATAAACCAGGCATGGGAAGTGACAGCTGCAGTTCAAGTATCCGGCAAAGAAGTGTGTAAAATATACAGAGCACAGTTGTGTCATTCCTACTGTGTTTGATTTTATTTTCTGGATAATTCTGATCATTTAAGAGGCTGCTATAGAGTCAAACTGACTTATTACCTCTGAACTGGCAGCAGACATGTATTGGTTTTATGTCTGACTAGACTCAGTGCCTATTCTTCAGCTTAAAGCCATGTTATTTTTCTCCTACAGTTCCACAATCTGAAAGAAAGTTGGGAGACTACATATTACAAATATCTACAAATGGTTGTAAAACTTCAGTTCATCCAGCAGGAGCTAATAGCGATAAAAACAGAACAGAAGAAGTGTGGACACCTGCTCAAGAACCAGAAGGACTCAGAAAAAGAAGTGCTCCTTTTGAAAAGCTGGATGCGGGAGAGCGAGGTGGGTGACATGAGGGCAGGGAACGGAGCAGGGCACGAGGGAAGGCAGTTTGCAGAAAGCCCGTTGGTTTGCTTGTCTTTTGAATCCGTGATGGGTTTTCATTTAATTTTCAGCGCACAGGTAATATGGACTACATCCCCTGCTTCTCCTCCTTTGCTAACAGCAGTTGACTTGGTAGATCTCATTCGCCTCTCTTTAAAGTTTTCAGTGTATGTCGTTCTGGTTTGTATTGCTGAAATAAAACACTGACGAAAAACAAATAGGGGAGGTGCGCTGGGTGGTTTTAAACACTTGACAGGAGCTAAAGTGATCTGAGCGGAAGGAACGTCAATTAAGAAGATGCCTCCATAAGATCTGCCTTTCTTAATTAGTGATTGATTGGGGAGGGGCCCAGCCCATAGTGGGTGGGGCCATTCCTGGGCTGGTAGTCCTGGGTTCTAGAAGAAAACAGGCAGAGCAAGCCAATATACAGCACCCCTCTATGGCCTCTGCATTAGCTGTGGACTAGGGCATGGAAATGCCAGCCCAGTAAGTCCTTCCCTCCACCGTTACTTTTGTTCATGGTGTTTCATCATAGCAATAGCAGCCCTAAGACAAGAGGGAAGGTTTTTTGTTGTTGTTGTTGTTGGTTTTGTTTGTTTGTTTTTAATTTATTTTTTTTTTCAAATCATAATTTTTACTTATTCACACAGGGGTTATAAATACAAAAGGGCAGGACGTGGGGAAGGGGATGACACTGGAGCGTGGGTGTTCAGGGGGAATACAGATATCTTTCAGAAAAGGGTATTGGCTGGGTGAAGGTTCAGGGGACAGGTAACTATGACTCTGCCTATGATTCACTTGTCTTTATCTAAGTTGGTATTATCTGCCAAGGCTACCTATTTACAAGGTCTATGACTACTCAGGCTGGTAAATTCCACAAAAGCTGCCTGTTTACAATAGCTTATAGCCATCTGTTTCAATGTTTTTCCACAGAGACCCAAGACTTGGTGTTAGTATACATGTATGACAGGCCTATTGTTGATTTTAGGCCTATGGCTGATTTTAGGCCTTCAGTGTATAAGCAGGGCTTCCCCTGACATCTCCTCCCTTCTCTAAGTATAGAAGAGCTGTGGCAATTCTAATCTTGCGAAGGCGGGGATAGAGGCCTGACCTCCAGTAATTGAAGGGGACCTTGTAATGGCTCTGGTTCCCCTGTCGTTGTCCAGTGAGGCATGAGGGCCATACCCATCCCGATGTCTTTTTCCTGGAGAGGGGATACTTTTGACAAGAGGGAAGTTTTTATAGTAGGCGTACATGCCCTTCTCACAGTCACGTCACTGAGAGGAGCCAAAGCAGGAACTCAAATCAAGCAGGGCAAAACTGCTGAAGCAGAAGCAGACTGGCTGGATCCTCTGGTACACTTAGCTTGCTGTCTTACACAACACAGAAACACCTGCCCAGGGGTGGAACCACCCACAGTGGGCGGGGCTGGGTCCTCCCACATCAATCAAAACCAAGAGAATACCTTATAAACGTGCCCACAGGCCAGTCTGTTGGAGGTACTTAGTTCCTCAAGTGAGGTCTGTTCTTCCCATGTATGATGACTAGGTTAGCATCAAACTGACAAAAATAAAGAATGCTCTGCCACAATATTTTAGTTAGACAATTGTTTGCATTTTAAGACAATTGAGAAGAAAAACTTCTTTGAAACAGGCTCTTAAATATTTCTTAAGTTACAGTTAAACATTTTTTTATTTTTTTTAATTGTATTTGTTCTGTGAGTTATGGAACTACCTGAGAGCTAGCATGAGAGTGATTCCGAGCTGAAGTAGCACACACAGGGCCTGGGATCAAGCCCAGCACCATTCAAAGGAAAGCAATACACTGCTTTATGTTTTAAATGTTTTTAATCAGGTTGTGGTGGTTTGTTTGTTTTGTTGAGACAGAGGTTCATTATATAGATCAGACTGGCCTCAACTTCACAGAGATCCACCTGCCCCTGCCTCCCGAGTTCCACCATGTCTGGCTTTATGTTTTAAATGTAATAAACATTACATTATGACATTTATGACATTAGTAATAAAACTTTAAATCCCAGCATCTTATTTAACATATTTACAACAGCCCATGAGCTGAAGATTCTTAACTAAGGAAACAAGAGCAAATTAATCATTCAAGGGTTAGTTATATTGGACTTTTGTTCTTTTTTTGCTTTAGACTCAAGCAAGAGATCAAAACAACATCGAAAATTTAAGAGACACCAATGATGCAGCAATGAGAAGCCAAATGGATCTCAGAATTAAAAACATGGAATCTCAGCTAGCCACTCGGCAACATCTCCATGGAGGAGGGAAGCTAAAACACAAGCACCACCATGCAGAAGAGAGTGGCCTGACCCAGCCGGTGAGGACCAAGCTGGATGAGCAAGCCAAGCAGAGCCCCGGCGAATAGCAAACTCGTTGGTTTGTCTCTGCCGCAGGGTGCAGATCTTAGCGCTGAGTCAGGGCTGGAAAATGAATGTGCACGTGGACTGCTGCTGTTCAGGAAGCCCTTGGCTTCTTCCCCTTTTCAGTCTGGATTTCTGTGGCCTTTTGCCCCCAGTGCTCTCATGTAGCTAACCTGATCCATTCGTATTCTAATGCTTTCTAAATATGGCCTTTATATCCTTACTAAGCTACTTCTCCATTTTATTAAATAGAAGTGTTAACACGTGTAACAATGTGGGGACTGTTACTTGAACAGCAATGATAGGGGATGACAAACTTCCCCTGGTGTGTCCTGACACGGGCAGACTCTGCTGGATTAAGATCTTTGGTATCGCCTATTGAAGGGTCTCTGTCATTGACAAGTTTTCTAGTTTGTATAAAGACATGCTTATGACACAGGAAAGAAACACAAAGGAAGAGAAAAGCAATTCACAAAACATCAAAATAACTCCATAGTCAGCATATAGATATCAGCATATAGGTGTCCATGTGTTGTGCCCATTTCGAATTTGCAAACCCCAAAAGACCACCAAGGAGCTGACTCTGATGCAGTTGCACCAGGGTCTCTATTACAAACTCAAGCTTGGGCCACACCACTGTCTGGGAGGGTGCAGCCCCGAGCTCTCAGAGGGACAAGGTTTTTTAGGTACTAGTAAGCAGGCAAGGGGGTTTCTAAACTGGCACACATCCGACTGGGAGACCATTATGGAATTTTGTTGCCCTTTAACATAATTGGCTGGTGCTGGGAGCCAAACCATAAACTTAACTTCTGCTTTCCTCCGTGATTCTTAGAAAGTGAAGTGCCAGGGGATGGGCTTGTAACCTGGACACTAATGCTAGGCGCTGGCTTGTTGGGAAATAACCTGGAAACTGGTACTAGACCCGTTTGTTAACTCAAGTTCAACCTTAGATCAGGTTCTCTAAGATGGAGTTTGAACTTGAGATCTGGTCTCTCAGGTGTATAGGTAGGTATCAGCATATAGGTGTAGGTATAGGTGTATGCTTTTTATAACCTACTTTAATAAGGTTTCAACCTCTCCTCTAGCTCACTACCCACCAGAGTTAGTGGAAAACAAAGGTTATTAGTATACAGGGGAAGTGGACTTGTTTAGAAATAGTTCTTGGGGCCATTTCAACCTTCCTTGTTCTCAGTCCAGTCCACTAGCAAACACCACACACAAATCAGCAAGGACAGTTCAATTCAGAAGAAATCTCCAGGCTTGCCAATTGGCCTGAGTCCTTGGAAGCAGCAAGAAGCCACAGGAAACTTACAAGAAGTTCTTTGACAAGTTTCTCTTTATGACATTACACAAGCTAAGCAACGTAATGTAAGGCGAACCAATACATGTCTGTACTCAGCGAAGACTATCGAGGTGAAGCAAAGCGGACCAATGCTCAAGCTCCCACTGTCTGTGGGGTCATGTTATATGTGTTCTAAACATCAGGCATCCTTTCACATGTCTGCTTCAGCAAAGCATCCATTCACCTGTGTGCCCCAGCAAAACATGGTTTAACATAACTGACTCTCCAAATAAACTATGTTTCCACTTCAGGTCGGTGTGAAGGGTGTGTAGATCTACAGAAAAAGTATGCATACCCCACCCTCGATGGCCCCACCCCCGATGGCCCCACCCCTCGATGGCTCCACCCTCAATGGCCCCACCCTCAATGGCTTTAGTGCTGTCACATAATGGACTCAGGAACCACTCTTATCCTCTCTGATCACCAAATTAGCTCATTTCCTCCTCCCCAGAGGCTGCCATTCTAAATCACATGCTCACTGGTGTCAAATGTTTACTTTATCCCAGGTTTCAGGTGGATTGTGCAGATACTTGAAAGGTTTAAGTTTCAAGCCTATTTACAAAATGCAAGGCTTTTTTCTAGATTGTGCTTCAGTTTTATTTTTAACTGCATAATTTAAGAGCACAATAATTATTGATAAATGTATGTATAGCATGCAAGTATTTGGGATGGAGAGATGCCTCAGTGGTTAAGAGCACTTGTTGCTCTTCCAGAGGCTCCAAGTTCAGGTCCCAACATCCACATGGCAGTTCACTACTGTCTACAGCTACAGTCCCAGAGGATCCAAATTCCTCTTCTGGCGTCCAAGGGCACGGTAGGCATATAGTACATGGACATATATTCAAGCAAAAACCCATTCACTTATAAAAATAAAATAAAGTAATATTTTTGTGGCATCATCAAACTTTTAAAATTCAATTTTGTTAATTATATGTACATATGCGGGTATGTGCATGCATGTGAGTACAGGTTTCACACAGGCCAGAGGAGACAGATTCCCCCTGAGCTGGACTTACAATTGCTTGTGAGCACCTGATGTGGGTGGTTGTTGGGAATTGGTTCTAATGTTTTGAATTAATCAGGAATCTGCATGTCCAAATGCTAAAAGTCCTTGTCCCCAACTGGTTTTTGATCAATCAATAAAGAGCCAACAGCCAATGGTTGGGTGGAAAGAGAGGGGTAGAACATATAGATTGTGCAAGCTAGAAACTGGAAGGAAGACTGACGACAATTTTGATGGCTCCAGGGAGAAGAGACATAAGAGCTGTATTCATGTCTTTCACTGACTTGCCTGTGAGCTACAGGGTACACCTTAGTTATGTGTCTGAGTTATGTGATTGTATCCATGTGTGTCCAGTGCCCCAGAAAGATAGAAAAAGGTACTGGGTCCTCTGAAGCTGGAGCTCCAGGCAGCTGTAAGCACAGTGTAAGTGCTGGGAACCAGGCTCCAGACCCTGGAGAGCAGGGAGCCTCTTAATCACTAACCATCATTGATGAGTCTGTGAAGCAGCAGGGGCCACTAAGACAGGTAGCTGCAGAAGAAAAGTGTTAGTTGAGGCAAAGGTGCAGACCAATAGATTGGGCCCTTCAGGCAGAGGAACCTGGTTGTTATCAGAGACAACTTTCTCTGAGGAGAGAAGAGCATGAGAGCATCTGTGCCCACAATTGACTAATGAAAGCACATTGTAAGAGGAAGTGTTTATCTCACAAGTGTGAGGACCGGAGTTCGAGTCCCCAGAACTCACACGAAGCTAGGCATAGAAGCCTCTGTCTGGAACTCAGTAGTAATGGGAGTTAGAGACTAGAGAATCCTGGAGACTTGCAGGCCAATTAACATGGCACATTCAGCAGGAAACAGCAAAGACCCTGTAGATGTATCTCACACAAGGGTAAGGTAAGGGCCAGCAATCGTCCTAACACAAGGGACCTATGATGGCTATTCCAGATGGTCACTTTGACTACGTCTGGGATGAACTACAATCCGGAAATGGAGGGCACACCTGTGGTCCAGATCTTGAGGCTGGAAAACAAGGCTTCTGGCCCAGATCTTGTCATGGGATGACACGCTTTTGATCCAGATCTTGAGGCATAGTGGCCATGAAAAGCTTTGGCCCAGCCAAGGTAGTACATGCCTTTAATCCCAGGAGACTGAGGCAGACAGATCATTGAGGTCAAGGCCGGCCTGGGACAGAACAAGTTCCAAATCCAAATGTGGTGATACATACTTTTAATCTGGGCCACACCTTCTGTTGGAGGAGGCTTACATAAGGACTTCCTATTCACAGCTGCCCATTGGTGGGTTAGTTGGAGTGCAGACTGTAAGTCATTATAATAAATTCCATTAATATAATAGAGACATTCCATAAGTTTTGTGACGCTAGATAACCCTGCCTAATACAAGAACACCCATATAATTAAAGGTAAAAATCCTTCTTAAAAAAGGAAAAGGGAATGTCAGGTAGTGGTGACATTTAATCCCAGCACTGGGCAAGCAGAGGCAGGTAGATCTCTATATTCAAGGCCATCTGGTCTTCACAGAAAAACTCTGTCTTGTTTTGTTTTGTTTTGTTTTTCGAGACAGGGTTTCTCTGTGTAGCCCTGGCTGTCCTGGAACTCACTCTGTAGTCCAGGCTGGCCTCGAACTCAGAAATCCACCTGCCACTGCCTCCCGAGTGCTGGGATTAAGAAAAACTCTGTCTTTAAAAAAAATGAGGAAGAAGGCAGGGAGGGAGGGAAGAAGAATGGAAGGAAGGAAGGAAGGAAGGAAGGAAGGAAGGAAGGAAGGAAGGAAGGAAGGAAGGGTACCTATCCAGTCAGTACAAAGTTTACCAATCCTCTGAGGCGTGAGGATGATTATAGGAAATATAAGAAAGATATGCAAGAGACAGAGAGGGCTGCGGGTCAATACTGCGCCAGCCTCGAGTGTATTCCAAATAGCCCTTTATTACTACGGTACTGTGGGAAGCAAAGTCACAGAAACAATTTGGTGAAACATACATGACATCTGTTCCCATCCAAAAGCCTCTCTGTTCCTTCCAATAGAATCTTCAGCCCCTCACCTTGAGCCTCCTCTTACTGTTCCATGCCTCTGCAGGCTGGAAAATCTGCCAACAGGCCATGACCTGCCTTGACTCTGCCTGGCAGGCAGACTTTTCTCTCTTTTTATTTCCCTGCTTCAGAGAAACAGACAAACAGCTCCTGACAAAGAAGAAGCAAAGGAAAGGCTGAGGAGAAATAGGAGGAGGAGAGGAAGAAAGGAAGGAAGGAAGAAAGAAAGAGGAAAAATGATTTACTTTTCCATATAAAACTTCCCTAACCATAAGAATTGACAGTGATTATCTATGTAACTTATTTATAACAAAATAAAATCTCTAAACAAATTCCTCCTGGCATTGCAGCTTCTTCCATCCACAAATGTTACCACTCGGGAACACAGATTTTGCAATGGCCTGAAACTATGGTCCTGGGCCAGGCCACTCATAGTGAGCTCCAGAACAAACTCTCTCTTATCCCCTTTGACATGAGAACTGTGTCTCTTCATTAACAGATTCTTTCCAGTACTGGCCTTTGCCATTTATTTTAGAATCATTTGTGTCCATATGTGGGACCACAGGACATG